GTAAAGCTCCCTCTACACTGTCCTCATGAAACACTCCCAGGACAGGGATAACACAGTTTTAGATACAGAGAACAAAGCTCTTTCTGCTCTTTAAACTGAAATTAAAGCTCCCCCTACTGTTTTAGACTGAAAGTAAAATTTCCTCTACTCTTTTAAACTGAAATTAAAGCATCCTCTGTATTGTCCCCATTACAGACACAGAATCTCGGCGTGTGAAAACCACCCCCACAATCAGTGCTCCAATCAACACCACCCAGCTGGGTGTATTTTTTTTAAACCTGGAGTTACTCCAAAGCCAGCGAACCTACCATGTTTCTTGCTGGGACTGGGGCACTGTGAGAAACCATGCCCGCTGACCCGTTATGCCAAGAAGGAGCCAGGCTTGCTGACTGCTTGACCCTTGCAGCATCACAACCAGCTTCCCTTACAGCCCTGGTGCCAGAGGCGGGTTCCCCTGTCCTCCACTGGGTCGTTAGTGCTCTCCTTCTGCCCTTTGCACCTCCCCTCCAGCATGTGACCCTCCACCAGCCCATGCCCACTCTCATCCACCCACTAACGATGCACCTTCCTTTCTGGCTGTGCCAGCCCACACGATACAACTCTCTCCCGGGCGCATGTTGCAATTAAAACTGTGGGCCAATACACACAGGCCGCAAGGAAACCCATGCACAGTGAAACATGTACGGACCCCTGTTATTACAAACAAAAGAAGAGACATTCCAATTGTGGCCACCCCTCCCAAGCAATGGATAAAATCTACAACAGGCTCTGGTCAGACTTTGGATTCGGGTGGGGGAGGTGCCAGGATGGTGTTTAATAACACAGAGATTCCCCTTACACAGGAATTGTGGGGATAATACAATTTCCATGGCTGCCAGGGGAATGGTGGGCTGTTTACCCAGAGTGCACAGCAGCTGGGAAAGTGCCCTATCTGGGATTGGAAAACCTTTGCCTGTGGCTCTGACAACCCACAGCCTTGGGGGATGTTTTAGCCTCCACTTGGGGAGAGAAGAGTGTCAAATGACACACAAATAGGTGGGAGATTACAGCATGGCAGGGGAAGGGGGGTCCATGTTTTACAGGTTTCACTGTGCAGGAAAATGGTTCAGAAGTCAAGCAAAGACAGATTCGAAGGCCGCTTGCGCACCGCTCGGCCGAGCAGAGAGTGTTTGTGTCTACCTGAGCTGGTGAAGTACGGCCTTTGTCCTCGGCTGGGGGCTCCGCTCCGCACTGCATGCTTACCTGGCATGCCTAGGAGACCGCTGGCCACGTGCATCTGGGGGCCCTGGGCAAAGTTGGAGAGCACACTGCGGGCGGAGGTGTGGAGCCCTCGCTGGAGTGACGATTGTGACTGAGGCGGCTGCTGCAGGAGGCAAGAGCACAAAGACACTGAAAGTGAGCGGAGCAATTCAAAACAGGCAGAGCTGGCGGGAGGGTGACTGGTGAGGCAGATCAGGTGAGGTGCTGTTTCAACATCGCCATAGCCTGATGTTCAACCCAGCTGAGACACATCAGAAATCAGTCAGCTTTCAGTGGGAGTGTTTGATGGGGGACAGTGTAGAAAGAGCTTTACTCTGTATCTATCTCTCCATCTAATGCCGTGCTGCCCCTGTCCTTCGAGTATTTGGGGACAGTGTAGAGTGAGCTTTGCTCTGTATTTAACCCTGAGCTGTTCTTGTCCTGGGAGTGTTTGGTAGGGGACACAGTGTAGAGTTTATTTAACTCTGTATCTAACCCAGTGCTGTTCCTGAGGAAGGGTCACCGGACCTGAAACGTTAACTGTGTTTTTTCCTTCACAGATGCTGCCAGACCTGCTGAGCTTTTCCAGCAACTTTGTTTCTGTTCCTGTCCTCGCTGTGTTGGATGGGGGTCAGTGCAGAGAGTGCTTTACTTTCAGTTTAAAAGAGCAGACAGAACTTTACTCTGTACCTAATCCTGTGCTGTTCCTGCCCAATGTACGATTATTGGGTCTTGTGCAGAGGAAGATTTATTCTGTATCTAACCTTGTACTTTATCTGTCCTTGACAGTGTTTGAAAGGGACAGTGTAGAGGGACCTTTATTCTGTATCTAACACTGTACTATCCCTATCCTGGGAGTGTTTGATGGGGATAGTGTCAAGAGAAGTTAATGTTCAATTTAAAACAGTAGAGTGAAATTTATTCTGTATCTAGTCACAGAATCATTGAGGTCCACGGCATGGAAACAGGCCCTTCTGCCCAACTTGTCCATGTTTCCCAGTTTTCATAATTTAAACTAGTCCCATTTGCCTGCATTTGGTCCATATCCCTCCATGCTTATCCTATCCATGTACCTGTCCAAATGTTTCTTAAATGACAAAATTGTACTCATCTTACACCAATATCTCTGGCAGCCTGTTCCAGACATTCACCTCACTCTGTGAAAAACCTGCCCCTCCGGACCCTTTTGTATCTCTCTCCTCTCACCTTAAACCTTTGTTGTCTAGTTTTAGACTCCCGTTCCCTGGGGAAAAGCTGTCGGCTGTCTACCTTATCAATGCCTCTCATGATTCTATAGACCTCTATAAGGTCACCCCCTCAGTCTCCTGTGCTCCAAGGAGAAAGGTCCCAGCCTATCCAGCCTCTCCTTATAAGTCAAACCTTCCAGTCCAGGTAGCATCCTAATAAATCTTTTCTGCACTCTGTCTAATTTATAATATCCTTTCTATAACAGGGCGACCAGAGCTGCACATGGTACTCCAAACGTGGTCTCACCAACATCTTGTTCAGCCACAATAAGATGTCCCAACTCCGATACTCCGTGTTCTGACCGATGAAAGCAAACATGCCGAAAGCCATCTTCACCGCCCTGTCTACCTCTGACTCCACTCTCAAGCAGCTATGGACATGTTGCACCTGTCCTGGGATTGTTTGATGGGTATAGTCTAGAGGAGATTTACTCAGAATTTAATCCCATACTGTTCTATTCTCGGACTGTTTGATGGAGACAGTGTAGAGGCAGCTTTATTTAGTTTACTTTCAGTTTAAATGAGTAGAGAGTGCTTTGCATTCTGTTCAAAAGAGTACAGGCAGCTTTATCCTGTATCTAACCTTGTGCTGTCCCTGTCCTAGGAGTATTTCATGGGGACAGCGTAATCTTTACTTTCAGATTATAAGAGTAGAAGCAGCTTTATTTTCATTTTAGAAGAGTAAAAGTAGCTTTATTTTCTTCACTTTCCATAAGACGATAGGATATAGCAGCAGTATTGAGCCATTCGGCCCATCGAGTCTGCTCCACCATTCAATTATGGCTGATATCTTTCTCAACCCTATTCTCCTGCCCTCTCCTTGATTATCCCCTTATAATCGAGGGCCTATCTCTGTCTTAAATACATTCAGCGACTTGGCCTCCTCAGCCCTCTATGGCGATGAGTTTCACAGATTCACCCTCCACCGTCAGGCTGAAGAAATTCCTCCTCATCGCAGTTCTAAAGGGTCATCCCTTCACTCTGAGGCTGTGCCCTCGGGTCCTAGTCTCCCTCTCGTGGAAACATCTTCCCCACGTTCACCCTATCCAGGCCTCTCAATATTCTGCAAGTTTCAACCAGGTCCTCCATAATCACATCTGCCCTCTGACTCTCTTTAAGTTATGGTCTGCTGCTGGTGCCTTCCACTGTGAAAACCGATGCAAAGTACCTATTCAGTTCCTCCACCATTTATTTGTTCCCCATTGCTACTTCTCCAGCCTCATTTTCCAGCGGCCCAATGTCCACTGGAGCCTCTTTCTTAGCTTAAAGATATCCTAAATAAAAACTCTTTCAATCTTCCTTTATATTACTAGCTAACTTACTTTCACCTTGGTTCTTCACCCTACCTTACTGCATTTTTTTTAAGTTATCCTCTGCTGGTTTTTAAAGGCTTCCCACTCACCTTTATCACATTGAATGCTTTCTCTTTTGCTTTTATGCCGTCCCTGATTTCCCTTGTCAGCCATGGTTGCCTCATCCTCCCTTTAGTATGCTTCTTCTTCCTGGAGATGAATTTTCGTTGTGCGTCCCAAATTACCCCCAGAAACTCCTGCTGGTCCACCATCTTCCCTGCTAAAGGCTCCCCTTCCAACCAACTCTGGCCAGCAACCCTGTCGTGTCTTTGTAGTTAGCTTTACTCAAACTGCAGGGTGAATTCTATCATATTATGGTCACTGTCCCCTGGGAGTTCCTTCACCTGTATCTCCAAAATCAAGTCTGCCTCAATAAACATCACCAAATCCAGAACTCTCCGCTCTCTAGTGGGCTATACCATAAGTTGCTCCAAAAAAAAATTTCGTAGACATTCCACAAATTCTTTCTCCTTGATTTTCCCAACCCACCTGCATAACGAAGTCCCCCGTGTGTACTGTAACAGTGCCTTTCTTATGTGCCTTTCTATCTCTCGATTTATTTTCTTTCCCACATCCTGACCACTGCTACAAGGCCTGTACACAACTCCCATCAGGGTATTTTTCCCTTGCAGTTCCGCAACTCTATCCACACAGACTCTAAAAGCCTTCCAACTCGATATCACTTCTTGGTCTGAATTTCATTTCTGACTAACAGGCTAACCCCATCCCCTCTGTCCTTTCGAAAGAGTGTGTATCCTTGGATATTTAGTTCCCAGCCTTGATGTCCTCATAGCCACATCTCGTGATACCCACAACACTACAGCCGCAAATTTCAATCTGCGCTATAAGCTCACTTGCCTTGTCCTGTACACTGCATGCCTTTAAGTACCAGCATTGACTGATTCCCTTTCTCATAGTTTGTGCCCTTATCTGCTGTGCCTGAAGTTACATTCCTGACCCTTTCCATGCTCTCTGTTCTAATACTTTTTCTGGAAACTTTAAAAGCCTCTGCTCAGCCCACCCCCCCTTTAACACTTCCCTAATTTTGCACTCAACTGAACCCACTCCCCCCGCCACTATTTAGTTTAAAGCCCTAGTAATCAGATTTACCAGGACTACAGTCCCAGCATGGATTCAAGTGGAGCCCATCCCATTGGAACAGCTCCCTCTTTCCCCAGTACTGGTGCTAATGGCCCATGAATTCAAACCCATATCTCCCACACCAATCTTTGAGCCACACGTTTAACTCTTTAATCTTGTCGACCCTGTGCCAATTAGCTCATGGCTCAGGTAGTCATCCAGAGATGATCGCCTTTTCGGTTCTGCTTTAATTTAGACCCTAGCTGCTCATGTCCCCTCAGCAGAAGCTCTTTCCTCTTTGCTTCTTGCCTGTATCGTCGGTACCTACGTGGACCATGACAACGGGATCTTTCCCCTCCCAAACCAAGTACCTCTGCAGCCCAGATGAGAAATCCTGAACCGGGCACCAGGCAAGAAACACAGTCTTTGGGACTCTCAATCCTGGCCACAGAGAACCGTGCCCAGTCCCCTGACTATCCTTTCCCCAATTATACCTGCATTTCTTTTTTCTCCCCTCTCCTGAATAGCTCCCTATCCCATGGCGCTATGGTCAGTTTGCTTCCTACAGCCTTTACTCTCATCCACACGGAACAAGAATCTCAAAATTGTTAGACACACTGACGGCTCTTCCAGCACAATCTCTGGGATGCCTCTAACTTGCCTGGCTTAGTCATTCTGTCCTGTCCCTGAACACTGACCAAACTTGGTGGTAATTAACCTTGGAGGGGTGAATGCCTCCTAAAACACAGCATCCAGGTAACTCCCCCCTCCACCCTCCACCCTCTCCCTGACGTGTTGCAGTTATTCAAAGCTCAGACTCCAGCTCATCAACTCTGAGCCATTTGAAAACAGCAGAGGTAGTTTTACTCTGTATCTAACCTCGTGCTGTCCCTGTCCTGGGAGTGTTTGATGGGGGGCAGTACAGAGAGAGACTTACTGTCTATCTAACTCTGTGTAGTCCCTCTCTTTGGAATCTTTGATGGGGACAAATGTAGCTTTGCAGGTTTGGCAGCATCTGTGGAGGAGAAAACAGAGTTAACGTTTCGGGTCTGGTGACCCTTTCTTAGACCCTTCTGAGGAAGGGTCACCGGACCTGAAACGTTAACTCTGTTTTCTCCTCCACAGATGCTGCCAGACCTGCTGAGCTTTTCCAGCGACTTTGTTTTTGTTCCTGATTTACAGCATCCGCGGTTCTTTCGGTTTTTACAAATGTAGCTTTACTTTCTATCTCACCCCGTGCTGCTGCTGCAGGGAGTAATTAGAGGGGCTTGTGCAGAGGGAGCGTTACGTTATATATCATCCCATGCTGTCCCTGTCCTGGGGACAGGGGGGGACAGTGCAGAGGAAGTTTTACTCTGTATCTAACCCTGTGCTGTCCCTGTCCTGGGAGTGTTTGATGGGGGCGGGAGGGGGGACAGTGCAGAGGAAGCTTTACTCTGTATCTAACCCCATGCTGTCCCTGTCCTGAGACTGTTTGATGGGGTACGGTGTAGAGGGAGCTTTACTCTGTATCTAACCCTGTGATGTCTCTGCCCTGGGAGTGTTTGATGAGGGAACAACGTAGAAGGAGCTTTACTCTAACACCGTGCCCTCAACAGGGCGGGTAAGTAGAGATGAGGAATGATCTTGAATGTGAATCAGATGGGCCTTCGGAGGGGAGTGTGGGAAATACTCGCTGGGGGCTATCTGAAGACAGCAGGGGGAAGGAATGGAATTGACTGGATTGCTCCACGGGGGCTGGAGGGGCCGAGTGGACTCATTCTGCACCAAAAACAGTTCAGCAACCTCCCCTGGGCCTCTGTTCCCACACTGCACCAGGTATTGACCTGCCCACGTGGCAGGTGCTGGGTGAGGTACACAGGAAGGTCACGAGGTTGACCCGCAGTTTCCAGGTGGAGGTGGATCTGTCCAGCCAGAATGGGGAGACTGGGCAGCACCTGTGGGATGTCAGGCATAGCCAGTTCTCCCTCCTGTGGCAGATATCCTCTGACCCACCCCTTGCCAAGGGGCTTACCTGCCGGAGAGGATGGTGCCTGATCACTGGCTCGGGTTTGCTCATTGGCACACCGGTGGGTGCAGACGTAGGGGGCGCCGAGACGGCTGCCGCTTGCTGCTGTATTCGCTGTTCAATTTCCTGCAGAGACCAGAGACGGACGGGTCAAGACCAGCTGTAGCCAAAGGGGCCCACCGCAACGTACGCTGACGTGGCACCTTCACCATCCCACGGATTTTCAGGGACCAAATCTTTACATCGTACCAAGTGAAACTGAGAGAGACAGTGTGAGAGATCGTGAAAAGCACTGAGAGCGAACGAAAAGCGAGTGAGAGAGAAAAAGAGGAATGAAAGAGAGAAAAAGAAATTAAGAGAGAATTAAATGCAAAAGAGTAAGAGAGAGACACACAACGAGAGAGGAAAACATAGAGAGAGAGAGTGGGTGGCGGAGATACACAGAGAGAGCTAGCAAGAGGGGTAGAGCGAGTGAGAGGGGTGGAGAGAGCGAGTGAGAGGGGTGGAGAGAGCGAGCGAGAGGGGTGGAGAGAGCGAGCGAATTTCGATACACTAAGGGAGACTTTGTCAGCTCATTTTGGGGTGGGTGGAGTCAGAGTGAACCACAGCATCGAGGCAGACTGGGTCAGGATACCCAATTCCCTTTCCTTAAAGGGACTCGAGTGAACCAGGTTTGGGGGCGGGGGGGGTGGCAGCAGTGGGGTTTAAACTTTCAATCGACACTCCTACAGAAAGGCCTGGCTGTTTCAGCTCAGACTCCACGTGAAGCTCAAATGTGAAAGATTCAAACCAGAAGCGGCTCTCACTCAACAATCTAGCACCAGGAGCATTTGGCGGTCGGGGTCACTGGGAGGTGACCGGTTTGAGCCCAACACTTGCCGCGGTCGAAGCTGAACTCGTCCATTTCAGACCCGTATCTGCGTGTTGTGTAGGGGGGGGTCACCAAGAACAGAGGGTTTTCTAACGGAGCTGCGCCAGAAAGAAGAGCACGAGGCTCTGGGTGGGCGGGGGAAGAGGGCGGCTCCCTCAGCTATCGGAGGGCGTGGACAATTGGAGAATCTGGTGACGGGCATGGAGCGGGCTCGAGGGTGCAAACAGCCTCTTCGCTCGGTGACCAGGCGCCGGGACGCAGTACCTGCTCCTGCTGCAAGGCTTTGACGAACGCGGTCTTGAGCCTGTTAGTGTGCTCGGCTTTCAGCGCCTTCTTCTGGTTGGAGGTCACGCACTGCTCACACAGGATGTTCCCGCTCCGCTCCTGCTTCCAGTGGGGGGTGAAGTCCGTCCGACACTGGGAGCACACAAACGGGTCAATTTGCGTTAGCTGGAAGCGCCCCTTCCCTGCAGCGAGGGAGGACAGCACACACGGAAAGAGAGAGAGAGAAAGAGAGACAGAAAGAAGAAACACATGAGATCCTCCTGGAGTTACTGCAACTCTAACCACTGTGGTGCCCGAGTGCTCTGCTGGCTGGGACAGCATCCGACTGTCAGGGAAGGTGGAGGGGTAGAAAAAGATGAGGGTGTGATGCCCCACTTGGTTGAATAGTCGGCAAACTGGGACACAACTCACAATATCGTGACAGAGAATCAACGTGAGCAGGCTCTTAAGAAAGCCCACAGGATTCTGGGCTTTATAAGAGGAGGCTTAGGACACAAAGAATCCCTATATTGTGGAACCAGGCCATTCGGCCCATTGAGTCCACACTGACTCTCCAAACAGCATCCCACCTAGACCCAACACCACCTCCACCTCCCCTACCCCCTCTGCCACCCCGCCACCCTATCCCTGTAACCCTGCATTTCCCATGGCTAATCCACCCTAACCTGTACGTCCCTGGACACTACGGGACAATTTAGCACGGCCAATCCACCCTAACCCGCACATC